ATGCTGATATGCCGTCTCTGAGACGTATGATTGGTATTTAAGGGTTTTTTGCTGAAAGATTATTGCCTCGTTCTATACCTCCCTGGCATAAGTAGTGATCTGGCTGTCAGTGAAAGGTCATACTGATTCGTATCAAATACCCAGACAGCACCAGATATTCCATGAATCTCCCTATCATATTCCTTTTGGAATATTGGAATATTCTAGAAATAATCTGGAATATTCCGGAATATCTGTGGAATATTCTCTAAATATGCGAATGGGAATTCCTCAGATAATCATAGAATATACCCAAAAGAATATTCTATGTTGAATGTTCCTGGAATATTCCAATAAACATATTCTGAAATAAAAAAATGCGACCAAAGTAGGGATCGAACTCGTGACCTCAAGACTATCAGAGCAACGCCTTGACCACTAGGCCAGTAACCGAATTGAATAATGTTATACATATCAAGTTCTTGTGAGAGCATTGTTCGAAATCGGATCATAAACACTTTTCGTTTCAAAATCCCCTTACATCTAATTGATGTTCGATACTCACATCTCTGAAATGATAAATGGTATTTATGTGTTGAGAAACATAGGAATATTCATGGAATATTTCATGAATATACACCACAGAATATTCAGTTGAGAATATTTCATGAATATACCGCACAGAATATTCAGTTGTGTATATTTCATAAATATACCGCACAGAATATTCAGTTGGGAATATTTCATGGATATACAACAGAGAATATTCAGTTGGGAATATTCCTGGAAGATTCATACCTGAATATTCCCTGAACATGTCCGACTATTCACTTTGGAATATTCCTTTCAGATGCATGTATATATTCTAGGAATAATCGATGAATATTCGGAATATACTCCTCCTTTTTAGCATATTTAGAGAATATTCTATGAATATCCAGTGCTGTCTGGGTAGGTTGACTGATTCACAATACTCGGATTTTCAAGTGATCACAGGAAATTTACAGTGTAACTACCAATAGATCGTCGAATTTCTCCTGAAAATTCATATGTATTATCCTAGATAAATGAGTTTATTGTTATGAATAGATTCTCGAACAGCTTTAGTACGGTCGTGTGTACTGTGTGTCAATGTGTATATTTTGAACCCTCTCCTAACTTTTTTCTCCATTGTAACATTTTTTTTTAAGAATATTATTCCATATTATTTCCTGACGATTTCATATATGTTGACAGAAAGACGGTTGAACATCTCAAGAAAAGTTATGGAAAGTTTTTGAATTGGACACCCTGTATCTCAGATTCTCCCTTGAGAGCTGATTTCATCATCGATATATCACACTTGGGGTATAGCTGAAATGATTACAGAGATATAGGGTGTGAAAAATGTGTATTTTTTCAACTTCAGGCATTTTTTTGTCGAAATAATTAATTATTCCAAAATAGAACAGAATGTTGTATTTCGTGCAAAATAAGTTATCAAAATTTTTTGTAGCAGTGCGCTTCCAACTATACAGTCATCATTGGTGATGTGTACTTATTGTACGTAGGAAATCAGCTTTCAGCTATTGGAAAATACATAATTTAAAATTGTGCATTCGATGATGCGCAGTATATCAACTATAACTATAGGCTAGTAGGTTATTTCCAGAATATACTCACCAAGGATTTTTGTTCCAGAACGATTTTTCTCCATGAGATATTTTTTCCGAGGAATATTTTTTCATAACTTTTCTCCTAGGTGATTTTCGTTCTGAAGGAACCGTTCCTAGATTTATCCAGAGAAGATGCACCTGGTTGGTGATGCCAACTGATTTCTCGACTTCATTGGCTCACCTGTTAGGAAGGTCGGCAAATTTGCACTACTTCATTGATATCTACTTCAACGGGAGATGTTATTGAACAATTTCGGATATAATTCCATCACCAACAATACCAATCAAAGTACCTACTTGACAAGCCCAGTCCGCACATCCTCACGTCGTCAACCTCAAGATATTTTGAACAACTCTTATTCGTTCATCTATAGAAGAGCAATGCTGTGAATTATTCACAAAAGTAAGTATTCACAAGAAGTAATGACCTTTTCACAATAAAATCTAATACATAATTTCTCTTCCTATTATCTGTAGGTATGACGACGTTCCTCGAACATAACAGGAATAGCCTTTCGTATCATGATAATAATCATCTCAGTCGTTGCTTCTTACAGTGGAGTAAAGATAATAGGATGGGACAAAAAACATACAGTCGGCTTTAACAAAGTTATAATCCAATATAACGGATAGAATGGTTCGAAGCTTCAAAGCTTCATTATCAGCGGATGAGAGTAAGATAGCAGCACTGCCACTGATATAAATAGGATCACATATTATTTTGAAATGATTACGCTGAAAATATACAAAACATTTGATCTCTTGAAGAAAGAGATTTTCCTAACATAGGTTGATCAAATATAGTAACTTTTGAAAATTACTGTCATTAATTAATGCCATCGTCCACCAATATTCTTGATGCCTCTGAACTATAAAATTTATGCATTGAATTTTATTGAAATATAACAAGAATGATTATAATATAACCTCAGTGCCTTATTCAATTACTGTTTGATTACAACTTGAAATAAGCTGAGAAGCCGTAGATAGCAGAAGTTCAGCTGCTTCAAGAAGACAGTTTTGGAGGTTAAGGTGAAAACTACATTTGAGCATGCATATATATCAAGCGTAGGAGCTTGATGGTTTCCGATACACATCAAGGTGTGAGAGTTTCAGATATTTATGTTTTTCTCAGTTTTCTCCTGGAATTTTTATAGAAAGGGCATGAAATGTGTGAACTATTCTTAAATGATAGCAGATGACCTCTTCATTCGACCATTTCAATTTGGCACACGATGCTCCAAACACCCTGTATACATCAGAATGAACGATAACTGCTTTGTTTCAGCTATATCTGGTTTGAAGTGATTTGGATTCAGTTCTGAATTTTTTATAATAGAGCTAAGACATCCAGATCCGCTCACCCATTCAGAATACAAAACTACTTACCATTCTCCAAGAGTTCGAAAGTTTGTGATGAAAATACAGTATTATCGCTGATCCTTTTCAAACTATTAATCTGTGCATGACTGAAACTACTCAACGAAGTCGAAGAAAACTGGAAGCTTTGATGACACATTGTTTCAAGTATAACAGTAGGAAGTTTTCATTGAAACTCTGTTGAATTCTCCTTTCCATAAACATTGATAGAAGTGACAAACGGTGACGATAACGTCAACAGTATTTTCATTGAATTGTCACTTTATATTCAATTCGTACCAAAAGTTCGGGTCTATAATGTTCGCAAGCAGAACAACTAACAGCCCAGTAAAGCCTTTTTATATGCCTGAAATCATTGGCGCCAGAACTTCATAATCCCATGGGTGCAGAATGAAGGCAGATAATATGTAACAGAAAAACAAAAAGGGGAGAAAACTAATACTGTTTGTACCGGGTGAATGAGTTCCAATGACAAGAACTATACAAGAATCGATAGAACTCTTAGAAGATCGAAGATCTACTGGAGATCTACTTGCCTACGTCACCGATTTATGGCAATCTTCGATAGAAAAACACAGGGAATCTCTAGCTGTCGCGTTGGACATATCGAAAGCATTCGACCGTGTTTGGCACGAAGGACTCCTCCACAAACTACCATCATACGGCTTACCACCTCAGCTATGCCATCTCTTATCGAGTTTTCTTTCAGGCAGATCGCTTCACGTGGTGGTGGACGGTGTATCGTCTGATACCATTGGCATCGATTCCGGTGACAAGGATCAATTTTGGCACCATAATTATTCCTTCTTCATATCAATGATCTGTTGGGAGTAACAACTTGCCCCATCCACAGCTTTGCAGATGATAGTACCCTCCATACTGCGTTCTCTTTCAGAATTCCCATTTTTTCCCAGGAAACTAAGAACTCACGGCGCAGGCAGGTCAATGCTGTCAATGAAGATCTTGCTGAAATCACAGCCTGGGGAACAAACAACCTAGTTGAATTCAACGCCACCAAAACTCAAGCCTGCGTTTTCTCTAGAAAGGCGGAACTCAGTATGCCCGATATTGGTTATGTCTGGCTCCACCATCCCCACCAAGCCCACCATATCTATGCTCGGTATTTCCATCAGCAACACTCTTCCATGGGATGATCATGTCAGATCCATCGCAAAAGCTGCTTCACAAAAACTCGGATTCTTGTTCCGTGCGAAAAGCTACTTTACACCTCAACAGCTTTTCATGATCTACAAAGCGCAGATGTGGCCTGTTCTAGAATACTGTTCCCAAATATGGGGTTCAGCACCAAAACATACGCTGATGCTCTTAGATTCCATCCAGAGAAGAGCCATTCGCCTGGTGGGTGACGCCACACTCACTCACTCTTTGACATCATTGGAACACCGTAGAAAGGTCGGCGACCTTTCACTTTTCTATCGATATTTCCACGGTAAATGTTCTTCGGAAATCTCTGCTATCATCCCTTCACTAGCAATATCAATCAGACGAACTAGACAAGCCTAGTCAGCACATCCTTTAGTTGGCAACCTCGAAAGATGTCGAACAGCACTTTATCAAGACTCCTTCATCCAAAGAACGGGTAGGCTCTGGAATTTATTGCCTGTGGAAGTATTCCCAACAACATATAATCTCCAAGAGTTCAAAAAAAATTCCAATACCTACCTCCTGTCCCTATCCTCCCTAGGAACGCACGATGTCCTTTGAACATTATAGGGATTCCCTTTCGTGCGCTCCAAGCGATAAAAAAAAAATAATGAGTACAAATTTCATTCCATCCCATTGAAATCAGGTCATCATTAATTGTGACACCATTCTGTACGAATTTCATTCCATTTTATTGAAATTGAGTTATCATCAAATTTTAACACATCTTCTTCATTTGTAATCGGCAAATTTTTCTCAAGCTTTCGCCACTTGAATTCAGAAACTCACTTGTGAAGTGAAGTAGGAAATAACAACTCAACATCATGTAATATCTCTGATTAGTGAATTTATTTAGCCAAATACATCGGTTGTGTCCAGAAATGAAGTTATTGATGAGTTACTGTATTTTTCGCACCATGCATCACGATTCTCCCTTCTTCTTCTTCAAATACTGGTGAGCGGTGTGCTAGATAATCCATGAAGATATCTAGATCAAGAGACCCGACTCTGATTTTCTTCAAATGTTTACTGATCATAGAAAATCCTCCACCACCGCTTCTCAAATATGAACACATGGCAATTTTGTAGAATTTGTTCCAGTCGATGTCTTCATATCTTGGAATTGTGCAGTTTTGGCAACGAACCTGGATGGACGATACTCTGTTGTTGACTGACTGTGATAGATCATAGGTGACTTTGAAACCTAAAACAAATTCAGTGAGGTCAGTGAATAGTACATCTGAACAACTCAACCAAAACTCAACACCGCGGTTGCTGGGTTAGTTCCAAATTCTACTGAATTGAAAGGAACTAAGGAGATTTTGCCGAATTTTATTTTCCCAGATCTGAAACTATTTTCTGAGTCTCAGTTTTACGCTCTGGAATGTAACAGGATAATCACCAACATTTTTGAAAGATATTTCATAGGATTACGAAAGTTTGATGTTTTTGAATTGGATATTTCATAAATGTTAACAGAATTGAATAAGTAATATGAGAGAGATTGAATAAGAAACGACAGCTGTCACATATTTCCATGTCATCATTCATCGACTATAATCTTCAGTCGTTCCTATTTTATGACTTAGTTACAAATAACTTTTTTTTCTCCTACAGATGATATGTCGCAGTAATAGTTTTGTGTTGTAACAACGGAGTTATCGTTATTTATACAAAAACAAAAAATTATTTGAGAGCCGCCATCTTGAATTCATGAATTTTATCAAAAAAATCATGATCCTCGACCTCAAATACCTCCACTTACCAATTTTGAATGTAATCGGACCAAATCTTGTCCGCCATCTTGGAGCAGCCATTTTTTCAAATTTCAATAAAAATTCCATTATGTATTGTCACCGAAATTATGGACACCTTCCAAATTTCAAGTTAATCGGAATTATGGAATTTTTGTTGAAATTAAAAAAATGGCTGCTCCAAGATTTGGTCCGATTCCATTCAAAATTTGTAAGTGGGGGTTTTTGAGGACGGAGATTATGATTTTTCGTTACAATTTATAAATTCAAGATTGCGGCTTCCAAATAATTTTTTGTTTTTGTATAAATGACGATAACTCCGTTGTTATCAACACAAAACTATTACTGCGATATATCATCTGTAAGAGAAAAAAAAGTTAATTGTAACTAAGTCATAGTGAGCTATGACCTACATTTGAAAAACTAAAGTTGGTGCTGATATCCCAAATTCTAGAAGAGTTGGTATAAATTCCATATTTTTTTCGAAATCACTTTGGAAAAACTGTCATGAGAAAGTGAAATTTCTATTTGAATAATTTCATAAATAAAGAAGTTACGGAGAAGACATGAAGATGATCAAAATCTATTTTTTGCGATAAAACAAAAACGAATAGATTTTATCGAAATATTTTTTCACATTATAGTTGGCCTTGACAAACTCCACATTTGGTGTCATCCGAACTCGTATCTCTCTCCGTCAAGAAGATACCCATGGTGAGCATGGTAAGTGGGAAACACTGTATATTGAGGTAATTTTCAAGTGATTATATTTTGGCTCATCTCATATCTCAAATCTCGCCTGTTTTTTTTTTTATTTCGTGTTATCATGTAGCACAAAGTAGAAGTAACTGATATGACTGTTGAGAGTAATAATTGATCGAAACAAGTTCATATTATGAGAAGATGTATAGTTTGACAATTTTGATATTTGTTTACCTACCTATTTTGCATAATCATATGGAAATCGTGTAGCAAATTTCATTCTAATCGACTCCCAAATGGATTTGTACCTACCAGAAACTTGGATGAGATCGTTGATTTCTATGCTTTGCTCGAACATTTCCTTCACATATTTCCCTTCAATTTCTCCGACATCGATAGTATTTCCAAATGGTTGAGAAATCACCAAATCACTGTACGATATATCTAAAAAAGGCAGATATAAAAATGCTATAGCAGAGCAATAATAATGACTATCACTCATCATATGATCTGGCCAATCAGAGGCCAGACACAACATAAGCTCATCGCGAAAATATCTTTCAATTCTGATTGGTCTATCAGCGTTGATGTTTTCAACGATGTAACCATGGATAGCGCAGCAAAGTCTATCAGTTTGGTATGAAACAATTATGGCTGTGCTTGTCAGAATGAATCACTCACACAAAACTTATTGCACATGTGACAATATTATAGCAATCGAGATAATGATATAACACATATTGAAAGTACAAGCGGGTCTTCTGACTATCAAGATCGAAGCATCGTACCTATCTTATAACTAACTGTATATCATTTATGATCATAATTGAAAGATATCCAAGTGATATGTTATCGCCTACACAGAAAAAAATATTGTTCTAAACTACAAAAATTTGTAAATTCAACAAAATTTGTGTGTCATATATCCAAAAATATTTCGTTACCGCAACAAATTTTCTGTCAGTTTTCAACTCAGAATTCATCTGATGTAACTCATTATTGATTGAAATCAACAGCAAGAATTGACTGAATAAACAAATACTATCATGTGCCCTTATTACAATATCTCGTAGATTGAACACATTCTGTGGATTGGAATAGTATCATGTAATTCCATTCAGTTGACAAAATTTCAAGCTTTTCAGAGAGTCGATATGTCAAAATGAGAATATATTTTCTGAATATGACAAAATGATTTTTCCACTCATTAGATAGTTTCATTCTATCAACAAAATTGTATTCAGAATTGAGAAAATATTTTGTACAATGATATCTATTAATTGAGAGATATCCAAGTGATATGTTATCGCCTACACAGAAAAAAATGTTGTTCGAAACTACAAAAATTTGTGAATTCAACAAAATCTGTGTGTCATATATCCAAAAATATTTCGTTACCGCAACAATTTTTCTGTCAGTTTTTAACTCATAATTCATTTGATGTAACTCATTATTGATTGAAATCAACAGCAAGAATTGACTGAATAAACAAATACTATTTTGTGCCCTTATCACAATATCTCATAGATTGAACACATTCTGTGGATTGGAATTATCATGTAATTCCATTCAGTTGACAAAATTTTAAGTTTTTCAGAGAGTCGATATGTCAAAATGAGAATATATTTTCTGAATATGACAAAATGATTTTTCCACTCATCAGGAAGTTTCATTCTATCAACAAAATTGTATTCAGAATTGAGAAAATATTTTGTACAATGATATCAATGAGATTTTCCAAATACTGGATATCAAAACTAAGAGAAATTAGAGATGAATTTTCTCAGTTGATGCAATACTATTAGCTAGCAAGCGTCATAAGAAGTTCTAGGACAGCCTGATATAATAATATAAAGGAATTTTTAAGGTACCTGTACACCACATTCGGGATGTCGTAGAATGTATCTATCAAGTAGCGAAAATGCAACTGTTCAACAAAATGGTCTGTTTGCAATAACAACATATTTCTTTATTATGATATGTTGAATCAACAAAATATAATGTTGTTGAAACCAATAATTCAATTTTGTCGATTAGAAAAGAGTATATAATTGATTGAACAATCAAATGATTGTTGAAGTAACGATATATGATGTGGTATTTTGTTGAATCTGTGTCAAAATTGATCTAATTTTGTCAAATAGATGAGATGCATATAATTTATAGAACAATAAGATGACAGTTGGATGAACGTTATTCATTTTATGTTTGGATGAAATAATATTTTGTTCAAATAAGCGAATATTCCAATCAAAATACTTTGTATTTTCGAATGAGTTGCTTATTTGGAATGAACATATATTTTGTTGCTTTTGCAAAATTGTGTTTAACATAATTTAACAAAATAAAAAAATTCCGAAATAATTTTGTTGGTGCAACAAAACTTTTTTTCGTGTATGTATTTTGTTCGATGTCAATGTTTTCAGTTTATTAAACTTCATTTCATGAAATTTCTGATTTTTCATCGTCCACTTTGTGAAATGGTCTAATAAAATGTCACTTGTTATTGCATTTATCTGATAAGTCTGGTTTTCATTCTTCAGTTCAACTGAATTGATCGAGAATTTTATCTTGAAAATTCAATCACTTGTGGCATTACTGTTGATTATATTTACTTCCTTGTCCCAAACTGGATCGTAATCCACCAGCATTCACGACAGCAAGGGCAACTTCACTCCAAGATTCAGGGGTTGAGGAATTTGTGAACTGAAATCAGAATAGATTTATCAACATCCTGATTTTCCATATTCAGTATACCGTCAAACGGGGCGACTTGAAAATAGGGGGCGATTTGAAATATGCGTGCGCGCTCGAACTCAGCCACGTGCTACCATCTTTTTATAAACGGCGAGAGCTGGACAAATTTTGAACATGTATATGAACGTATTATACGATTCATTTTTAGTAGATCGCCCACCTGTGATGCAGAAGGTTTCCGTGAAAAAAATTCTACTAAAAAGGTAAGAAAAACACTTGTTTTCGTTATATAACTACTTCCAGTTAGGTAGATGTCTACGAAGGAGAATTCTTATCGAAATAATTTTTTTTTTATGTCCAATACACTTAAGTACAGTATCCTAACCTAAAATTTGCGTTAATTGTTTTCGTTATCCAGTGGCGTACCAAATGATTTTTTTTTACATTTCAGGGGCGACTTGAAATATGGTTCAAGTATACAAAAAAAAACCTGGACCGCGGAACTATCAGAATTATAGTCAGGAGTCTGTGCAGTTAGCTGTTGCAGCTTACAGGAGAGGAGATGGAAGCCTGATGGCAATTTCAGAGCGCTTTGGAATCCCGATGACAACCATTTACAGAAAAATTAAAGGAATTAACAAAAAAAAAAGTTGGAGGGCAAGCTATTCTGAGTCAAACAGAAGAACGTGCACTCTGTGAAGCTTTATTCGTTGTTGCTGATTGGGGATTTCCGCTGCAACCTGGTGATATAAAAGACCTCGTCAAAAGTTACTTAGATAGACGTGGTATTAAGGTGCCAGTATTCAAGAATAACAAACCCGGAGAGACATGGATGATGGGTTTCTTGAAAAGGAACAATAACTTATCGAAGAGATTTTCCTGATCAATAAAAGAAAAATGAGCCACGACGTGATCAATAAATATTTTGACAATCTTGAAGAGAGTTTACGTGATGTTCCCCTGAATGCCATTATAAATTATGATGAGACTAATTTCACGGACGACCCAGGAAGAGTTAAGGTAATGGTTCATGGAAAGAGCAAATGGGCAGAAAAAGTTATGGACACATCCAAGTCTGCCACGTCAGTAATGTTTGCGTGCACAGCGACTGAAACTATTTCTCGAAAAATCTACCTGTTACCTGCCAACGTGCATACCTGAATATGATTTAATTTTTATTCTGAAGAGTTTCATTTTATTTTAACCAGTTTTGTTATTTTTGAGTGGAATATATGATTTGTTCCAGATGACCGTTCATTTATTTCTAGGAAAACACTATCGTATGAGATAATAATTCTCATTGAAATAATCAATAACCTGAAACAATGATATTTCATACTTGATTTCAGGTATTTTTTCAAACTGACAAAACTCGATATTTTTTTTCGATTCTCTTCATTCCATGTCGCCTCCCTGCGACTGTATCTTGAAAATTAGGCCAAGAACTGACGATTTTTCATGTCGCTCCAAAGTGGAGCGACTTGAAAAACCGCCTTTGAAATTTTTTTCACGAAAATTGGCCAGCTATTGAATTTTTTCAATGCATGCCATAGATTCCTTTTGGTTCAAAGTAATGTATTATGAATTTTATATGCACTCAAATAACGCAGTCGACGGTTCAGGACCAATAATATGACGAAAACGTTCCAAGTCGCCCCGTTTTACGGTATGTATATTTATTACTGTCAAAAATATATATTTTTTCATTTTGCCTCTCATTTAGCCACTTTCCAAACGGATTTCAGAATACTGGACATCTCCTGAAAGCTGAGAAAATTCAGTTCAGCGTGGAAGAGAAGAACAATGTAGGAAATTTCTCACTTATCATGCAATGTATATATTATGTCGAAAAAGTTTCTTGTTACCTACTGATTTTCCTATGGAAATCACAAATCTAATAGAGAAAGTATAAGACAAAAGCACATCATATCAGGATAATTCACGAAGAAGTTCGAAATTCCATATTTTTTCTGGCCCGTCTTGGATAGGCATTCAGAGCTATTTGCCCAAATTTTCCTCTCATTGGACACATAATATAATCACACGTCATGTATGACAATGATCAAGTAAAAATATATTTCCAGGGATTTTTTCATATTTAGAGATCAATGATTTCAGCTGACGGTCATTCAATTATGAAGATATATAACAATATGTCAAATGAAGTTCAAATGTGCAAGAACATGAACTCAAAACCAATTGCTTCTGGATGACATAACGTTCACCATCATTTTTGATGATATTCTCCCTTCTTCAATCTGCATCCCACTTTGAGTTATTTATATCGACGACGTTGGAAATGAAAATTTCTGAATATTAGCTTATTACTATTAGGGGTATTGTGAGATCACTAGAGCAGGCACAAATAAAAACATAAGGGATGAGTTACTACTGAACCACCATTAATTTGATATTTCATCATATTTTCTTGGTTTTATATTCCTTCAAAGATAGATTCGTTGAAGCACTAACACAATGGCAAATAGAAATTATATCAATATCAAATAGATACTTTGAGTTATCATTGATTTATTGAACCAACACAAATATAGAGGGAGTGAAGATAATGGGAAGTCAAGTGAGTTTTTTCTGGACACCCTACATTCAGGCTGACTGGCAATAAAACGTCTAAATGATTTCTTATTCAATTTAGTTCAATGAAACATTAAATAGCCTCTCAAGTTCAGTACTATAAGAAGTCACCAATATATTTTTTCATTTTCAATTCAACTTCGAAGACTGTCATTTCTTCATTTGAAGATTCTTTTCTGAATACAATGATGATATTATACCAATTTGACATTAGTCAGGCAAAACATAAAATGCCCCACATAAAATAAAATGATTGATATTCCATAATATTTTCAATTCGGTCATTGATTGTGATTGATATTTGAGTTATTCTATTGCAAATTCATGAAGAATATTTGAGATAACAATAATTATTGGTTAAATCGACTGATGGTATTTTGCTATGTTTTTATAAAACCGAGCATTGTTCATTTTTTTCATCAAATCACTGGTGCAAGTCAATTCGTTAAAAAATAAATATCAATATAAACTTGAGAGTATATGAGCATCAGAAAAAATTGCAGTCTCTGACGTTGAAGTATCATATGGACAAGAATTATAAGTACTGCCTCGTTCACTGAAGATTGATTTCATGTGCTTTCTTCTTCGTCAAAATCCAAAAATGAATGACGGCGTTATTTCATGACCTGGGTTGTTTTTGTCAGTCAGCCTGATGTATATCAATTTATTTCAATTTCTCTCTATGGGGCTAGTTCATCTATTCATCAAATGTACTCACTGCATAAACGTAAGCATCAGCAATGAAGTTTCCCAAAGTACATTCCTTGACATAGCACCCTACGGCACTGAGCTCAACCAAGCTGGACCCTACAATACCATCACCTTTCTCGTCGACTAACTTTTTCCACGGAAGTAGCTCTTCGTTGATTTGTTCATCTAATCAGAGAGACGGAATAAAATGCACTGAATGTTTTGACTCTTTCAAAACTGGTATTAATATGATGCGATAATATAAATAATACGGCACTTATATCTGAATCCTATAACACCACCTCGATCCTCTACCAAATAGAGTAGCTTTTTTTGACTCTTTGTTTATTTGTTCGTCTGAAGGGAAATATATTCACGGGTCTGGGTACGCCACTCAATTTGGCTCTCATTTTCACGAAAGTCTGAGTAAATAGATGGAATGAAATAAACCTCATCTCATTCAATAGTGGCCAATATTTTATTTCCATCGTTTTCTGTTATGACTGGAAGAAGCTCGAGAACTTCTCGATGCTGGAATTATAGTCACGTGGAACTAATAATTCGGTATTTTAAACAACAATTCAATTGAGTTTTGAATCAATTAATATCAACGGTCTGAATGGAAATCCATAGTGAATGTGAAAAACTTCACAAAATTCTAAATGCCACGACCTGGACATTGACCTGGATATAGGAAGAAACATTGAAGTACTGAAAAATTCGAGTTCGTGAATTGTGTTCTATTCGCAATCAATGAATTATTTGCAATTGGTGTCAGAGGAAGAATTCATGATTGGTTCAAAAATTATCTATCAAATAGAAAACAATATGTTGAAGTGAGTGGTACTTGTAGCTCCTTAATGAACATCTCATGCGGTGTACCGCAAGGGTCAGTCTTGGGACCAGTTTCATTTTTGATCTACATAAATTCAATATCAAACTTGGAATTGAGAGGAGAACTTAAATTATTTGCAGTTGACACGACATTGTTTTTTTCTCTAAAGATTCAAATAATATTATCATGGATTGTGGAATAAACATATAGATCATTTGAGAAAGAAACTTAATCCTAGGCATTTTATTCAAAATACGAAATTCCATTTCTACTGATATCTATATGGGGAAGAACCAATATTTCACGTTTGAGTCCACTAATGAAATTACAAAATGAAACATTGGAGTGTATTTTCAATTTAAATTTTCTGGAACCAACTATGAATTTATACAAACCTAGAGATTTATTAGATCTGACATCACTAAATAAACTTAAGATATGTTGTTTTATTCAATTTGTCCTATATAAATTGAAAATTTCAAAATTAAATTTCAATAAAATTAATTCATTACATAATCATGGAACAAGACAATCAAATTTACTAATAGCAAATACGTTCAAGTCAAATATCGGCAAACAATCCATTTTTACACAGGAATCGTTCTATACAACTCATTACCAAGTCAATTGAGGAATATACAGGAAGCAACTAGATTCAAAATTAACTTGAAAAAATAACTGCTTCAGAGACTTTGATGATTCGATTTCTTATTTGAATACCTACTTATAAAAGACAAGACATGTTTTTTGGGGTAATGAAGACAATCAATCAATCAATATGATGGAGAGATTTTGAATTTTGTGTAAAATTTATCATAAAATCGCAAAGCGCTTTCGGCTACAAAGCCATCATCAGTGCTATACCTGCAAGTGAGTAATATTATTTATGAAAATATCAAAAACCAAACCAAACCAAAATCTGCACAGTTTTGTTGAACTGTGATTTTGGTCAAGAAATTAACAACAAAAATACACCTGTTACTCAACTAATGTCCATTACGGTATCAATTGCGATATAACAGAAATGATGGTTATGATCACGGAGTTGATCCAATGATTTTTCTTAACTATTTCATCAATCTGATGTTTTAATTTCTTTGAGGCCGAATAATGGACTTTATGGAGGAACAGAAGTAACTGATCAATAACAAAAAGGTAAAGCACCGGTAATCGGAACAGTGAAAAAAAAAAAGGAAACACGAAAGTTCCATTAACGGAAAAAACCGTGTTCCCGTAGGGAGTTTATGATATTTGTTCAAACTCTCCTATCAAAACAATTTCAAATACTCAGTAGTTCACATTTCCATCAACTCCTTTATGTCTTCATCATCACCGTTTATATAAAATGATTCCTCGAAATTGGCAAGAATATGTGAAACAAAAAATTAAGCTGCTTGAACATCTACTTCGTTGGGATTATTATGTTCGAGTAAAATTTTGTTGATATTTATATTCCACTTCTTCGAAAAATATATCATAGGAAAAATTACGCTAAAATTTGATGTTATATGAAGAATGACCCATTACCTACACAGAAAACAAAATTTGTTTGAAACTACAAAATTTTTGTAAATTCAACAAAATGAGTGTCATATATCCACGACAAAATATTTTGTCACCGCAACAAATTTTTTTGTCAGTTTTCAATTCGAAATTCATTTGATGTAACTCATTGAATGATTCAAATCAACAGCAGGAATTGGTTGAATAAACAAAGACTATTTTGTTCCTATAATACAATATCTGCTCTTATAACGATTCTGTTGATTGAAATGATTATATCATTTCATTCAAGTGACAAAATTTTCAGTCTTTCAGAGAGTGAATATGTAGAAATAACTATATATATTCTTCGATCAACCAAATTGTATTTAGAATTGACAAAATATTTTGTTGAATTCAAGACTATCAGCTTGTATAGGTGTCATAAGAAATTCTAGGACAGCCTAATATAATTATATAAACGGATGTTTTAGGTAGGTATATGTACACCTCAATCGAGGCAAGCGTAGGAAGGTTGGAAGAAACTCCACCTGGTGGATAATCATTCAACAAAACATTTGTTTGATATAATGTATTTGTGGGTTCTGTTCAACAAAGTTATTTGTTTGAAATAACAACATATGTCTTGATAGTGATGTGTTGAATCAACAAAATATAACATTGTCATAATCAATTCAATTTTGTCGAATAGACAAAAAACCTTCGATTGGTTGCACAATAAAATGATTGATGACTCAACAAAATATGATGTATTTAGTTAAATCTTCGTCAAAATTAATTTAATTTTGTTGATTTCGCAAAATTGTGTTCAAATTAACAAAAAAAAATTACCAAAATTATTTTGTTGGTGTGACAAAACTTTTTTTTCCGTGTATGGGATTCATCACAATGAGGTGTGTCATTGAGTGTTGAAAATGGAGTTAGCAATGCATTGATGACTCAAAAGTTCTAGATAAAGGTACCTATACAGGTCCTAATTTCATTCCATACATACCTTGGGGTAGGTTCTTGCCCAAGAATATTGGTTCTCCGGAATAATCCACAATTTCACCGTTCTCGTCGAGCAATAAGGTGATGTTTCCCAAATATCTACAGAAAGCAGATGCTTGTACGACTAATACTTCGTGGCCTAGTTTGTTCGGAACAATAATTGTTGGATATGGACCTTGCACTTCAGCAGGGCCTGGAGGATTATCTGAAATACAGTAAATCTTAGAAATATACAAAGAAATGCATACTTGATCAGGACATTATTCTTCCTACAAGAACCATTCTGTTTTCAATTGTGTTTTACATCATTCGCAAGTTAATCCTGAATATACCTGATTTATTATGTAGTTCTGAATCCGATTCGCTGAGCTATCTCAGAATAAATATGCAGGTAGTAATATGGAGTGGGTTTTTTTCTAATTGCTTATCATTCCATATTTGGATCTGGACTTTCATCATGAGTGAAACGAAACTAGGTTTGATAGGGGTGAGTTGAACGTTATCAAGAAGAAGACAAAAAACTTTCCAAAATGTAGGTGACAAAAAGGTCTTCCTCTTTCGTGTTACACTTTCATAAGACAAGGAAGAGTCTCTCTCTTTCTCTGGCGTTTTCAATGCAAAAATGACACAACATTGGTTTTATAACATTTAGAGACTGGGTTGAATTCCTAAAGTATCAGCCGCGTCAGTCAATCTACGACTTTGCTGCCTAGTAAAACAAATAACTATTCCTTATTCCCCATTTTCTTTCAACAGTTGCACAATTACTATGAAAAGGCATTATAAATGTTGATTTCATATGTTTTCTTCGAATTTTTGAAAAATTGTGCTAATGTAAGTACTCCTTCAATGATGATGTTATTCTGGTTCCACTGGACCTTTCCCAAATTTGAATCCATATTGAACAACTGGACCCAAAATACTCCAGATTTTTGACCTGTTCTAGTAATTTTGTTCTCAATATGAATTGCTGAGGTGAGTATAACTATAACTTCAACTCTTGTTTTATTCCTTAAAAGTTTCCATAATATCTTCTAGTAGCCCAATCACCTTAGTATCAAATTTGACGAATAGCGGGAATCGAAGCCAAAGTTTTGAAAATTGGTGTACATGTTCCCTTTGGCATGACTTTCAACCAAAAAAAAGTCACCACCTGTACCTGTAGAGCTAACTCCACCATCTTGAAAAATGTGTGCACTTTTTCAGTTATTCGGTTATATCTCAGTATCTGTTGACTTTATCGATATCAATATGCTGAGGTAAATTGTAGAAAATTGAATTTAGAAAAAAAAAGTTTTCCATATAAAAACTCGTTTAGTGCATGGTTTATCAGTAAATCGTGAAACAATATGCGATATTTGAGAAACTTACTCATAATTATTCTGGATATGCATATATTCCAACTACAAGTAACTGTCAGAGAGTCGGCGCCATATTCAAGGATCCTCGCAACAACGATCGGCCATTACAGAATACCAGTGTTGCCACATATTGATGTTTTTTTTTTCTTCTACATCGTATTATTTGGCAGTAAAATCAAACGTTCTTGTCAATCTGGTCCAGTTACATTGCCTACGTCAGGAAACAATACGGCTCTAATTCGGTGATTGTTTTCGACGGGTACTCTGAAGATGCTGATAGAACTAAAAAGGCTGAACAGCATAGACGTGCTCTCAAAAATACATGTGCAGACATAGGTTTTGTTTGATGAAAACATGCCGGTCACTGTCGCACAAGAAAAATTACTAGCTAACCCGAAGAACAAGAAGCGATTGATTGCTATATTATCAAAAAATGAAGGGTTCATCACAAAGCAAGCAGTGGACGATGCGGATTCGCTAACAATACAGACAGCTATTGAAATGTCTTCCTCTACCCAAGTCACCGTTGTTGGAGAAGATGTAGATCTACTTATTCTACTCATAGCTTCGGCTCCAGCAGAACGCAACATTTATTTTGTGAAACCAAAAAAAGGCAATGTATAAAGGCAAAAAGTACTGTTCCCGCGAACTACAAACCAATATTAAATAACAGAACACTATCCTTTTCTTACATACCTTTGGGGGTTGTGATACCACATCATGTTTCTTTAAGAAAGGAAAGTTGTAATGCTTTAAACTCATGAAGGACCGGCCATCATAACGAGAAGTTGCGAAGGCTTTCAACAACCCGGAAGCTGAGAGTGAAGAAGTATCTGCTACATGTGAAAGATTCTTTCTAGCTCTGTATGGTACCCATAAAACGGAAACATCATTGAACAAGCTACGGTACAATCTGTTCGCCGAATCTGCTACAAAAAAAAAGTAGATCTGGCTTCTCTGCCACCGACGGAAGCAGCTTTGAGGCAGCACTCCTTCAGAGTCAATCATCGGGTACTAGAGTCGTTGGGTAATAAAAAATGTCCTGAGGTTTGGGGGTGGAAGAGGAGTGCTGTTGGTCTGGTACCTGTGCCAACTACCCTACCTGCTGCTCCAGATTCTTTGCTCCAGATGATTCCTAGCGATTGCAAGAAAGGATGCACGGCAGCCTGCGGATGCAGAAAAGCGGGTCTCAAATTCTTGATTAGTTGCGAATATTGCCTTGGAACATCGTGCCTCAACGCACAATACTTTCCGTTTATCTCTTCTAAGTAATGAATACGAAGTTTCCGACGAACCCGACCCGATGGTTGTTTTTTCAAATAACGAAGAATACATGCCTTATTCTCCATGTTATACCCTGCGTCTCCGAAATGGGTGATATACCCGAAGCGTAGAGTTGTCCCAGTTGTCATCAGACCGAGATCGGCTTTTGAGACCTGGTGGGTCGAAACAGTACTGTCTTGCTCCTACTGACAATTGGGGCAACTCTGACCATCCTGAAACTCTTGATTATGAGATCTAGCAGCTTTTCTGCAGGTCACCATGAGCGTATACAACTAAATTATAGTTTGTCCAGTCGGTTTGCAGTAGAATTTTATATTTTGCCAAATCGTTGTGGCGACATAAGTCCAAAACCATGCATATTTCGGAAATAATCAATGAATACTTTTTTACGACAAATTTTGTTAGCTTCCTTCTACCTATTCACCTTTATCGCGATAAAGTTGACAGTTACCGAGATATACGTGAAAAACTGAAATATTGCACATATTTTCCAAGATGGCGGCGCAAGCTCTACAGGTATGGGTGGTGACTTTTTTTTGGTAAGATGTTATGCTAAAAGGAACACGTACACCAATTTTCAAAACTTTGGCTCCGATTCCCGCTATTTTTTTTAAGGTGACTGGGCTATAGGTACATCTTCAATACACCAATTTTGTGTCTGATGATGACCTGTGGCGAAACTAGTTACACTACTTATCAAATAATTTTTGTGGTCGATCAACTTTGTGCCTTTAATTGTTCTTTTTGAGAATAAATTGGACCAAAAATGAGAAGTATAAATGGTTTATCTTTCTACGATTTGATATAGAATCTTCTTTATTCCTCACTCACCTCCAGTATACAGAAATGTATGTGAATGACCTCCCACGATGAGACTGATTTTTTCAGAAGCGTTTCTCGCTATTATTTTATCAACATCATATCCTGCATGGGATAGCACGATATTTGTGAAAACTCCTTCCTCTTTAACAAGTCGTTCAGCTTCTTGATTGACACTGGATGACTCAGGTAGAAAGGCGAGTTTGCCTGTGTCTGATAAATCCTGTAAATTCAATTATCAAAGGTAATATCCCGGAACCATGACGAATTACCGATTATTATTTTTCTCATAATTGCATCGGAAGTACCGTGTATTTAGACAATTTGATGAGACCATATGAACATTAATAATCTGAGCTTCAGCTCGAGGGAATTATTCTATGATTATTAATGTTTATAATATGGTCAAATTGAATTCTATCAAAATGGAAGGTACTTGGGATGGATTAAAGAGAATAATGGTCTCTATTCCTCATGGTCGAGTGATATTCAGGAAGATAATTTCATGAATAGTATGAAAATACAATTCATTTGAAGTTAGTGCTTCGGAACGTTCCTTTCTTGTTTTGCCAGGCTTCGCTTTCTTGCATTATGGGCAACCCTGGTATCTTGGAATTCGATATCTTCGAATAGATTCACTTCACGTGTATGTTCAGTGGAGTATACTTTTTGTATAAATTTCCAGATCAATTCAACTGTGTACTCTTCATATTCCTCACCATTCTATTCATCCAATCTTTCAGGATTCTGGCGATCACGTGAGTTGGGGTAGAGTCGCACAAAATTCATAGTTTTTCTGCTGACGAAAAACCAAAAATTGTACCAGGATTCGCCAACATATTTACTGATGATTTCTGTAGTGGAAGTAGACTCACAAGGAGCCATTTTCAAGTGACTCATATAAAATGTCATACTTACTAGTGTCAAACTTTGACAATCATAGCAATCTTATGCTGTCGAACAGAATAGCCGCTTAAATTATGTTTGTTTACTTAAAAAGTCGCTGATACCGTATATCATGTGACTTCAATCATGAAATTTTGTAGGTGCAGCCAGGTGAGAATGGAATAATCACTTATGATATCACGAGAGCTTCAATTATTTCCGGAAATTTTTCGAGAACACGAATATTTTGAAAATCCTTCAGAGTCGAAGACAAGGGAGAATTTTTTAAATATTCGCGTTCGAGAAAAAATTTCCGGATATTAATTGAAGCTAAAGTGGTATTCGGTAATAAAATTTCACTCTAAACAGTTTCGATCAATTTGAAAGAATTCCAACAGCACTTAGATGATTTAGTTGAAAATGATGGTTGTTTGTGATGAAATGTAAGAACTAACGTATAGTAACAACATGTGTTTTTGTAAATTTCGAATTTGCAAGTATACCTACATAATATTATATGCTAAACTGTTGATAAATGGTCTTTATTTATTGACTTATAGGATGAACTCAAAATAATCTGACGGTGAATGTAAATGTCAAGGAAGAGGAAAACATTTCCAGAAAATTTGTTTAGTTGTTATGGTAACGATACGAAATACAGGCTTTAAATTGATCGAAAATGTTTGGTGTGAAATTTTCGATGATATTGATTCAATTCGATTACTTCAAACAATGGAATGATCGGGCAAAGAGTGCTATTGTATTTCTTGGAACGAATAATATTTCGAGCAGTAATGAAAACCATGGAATTCAAAGTGCTGCAGCCAAAATTTATTGTACATTACAGGGACGTAGATGAGTTTGCATAAAAAAATATGTTTTTCGTGGACCTCCACTAAAAATAACGAAAAAGTAACTATTCCCGAAGTTGAGTACTTTTCGTCTGCAGACAATAACTTTTCGTCCGCAAAGACTCATCGTCTGCTGCAGGGTTGCCAGTTCTGCAAAAATTTTAGTAGATCTCCTGATGTGCGTATTGATATACTGATATACTGAAACATTTCATAATCTACTGAAAAATATCTTGACACTCATTCAGTATTATAATCTCCTATAATATTAATAATCTTTTGTTAATCATTCTCACTCTCTGTTCAAATCATTTTACAAAATAAGTAATAAATGTACAACATATAGGTACTATATTGTATAATGGAGATGTATAAACAATAAAAGGACAATACTTCATCTGATTCAGATCAAATTCAATTTTCATATTGGTACCTCTGTTATAAAGTTGGCTTCTTACGTTCAATTCTTTCATTTGTTTTGTATTTCTGTTGTTCATTCTGACTTTCCGTTCCTGTTATTTATTTACTCAAATCTAATAAGTATCTATGTGTTGTGATATTTGTGAGAATTAATAATAATAACAATAATAATGATAATAATCGTCTCCATTCATGAAGAACATGATAGTACATTGACTTTAGAAAGGCGAAGTTGAGCGAACGCTATTCTTACACTTGAACCTTAATACATTAACATAGTGTGTCCATCCAGGAATGTCCTGGAATGACTACCTACAGACTATGAACAAAAGTATCGTGAAATATTCAAATTATTCATCATATATATATACACTAATAACTATACCTTTTACTGAATGAAAAGAGCTGTAACAAAACATCAAGTAATGAAAGGAAGAAAATTGTCAAGAAAAAAATAACAAAAAGATAACCTCGTTCAACTTCAAGCAACGGATCGAACAACAAGAACAAAAACAAGAAGCACCATGGAAATAGGGAAAAAACGGTTGAGATGTCAGCATCTATGTATCGGTCTAGCAAGAGTTATTTTTTGTATGAGAATGTTTGTTTTGTTTGTTTCTATCTTGTTAGAAATATGTTACTGTTCTGTTTACTAGAAGTACATGATGTTCCTACGTCATAGGTTTATTTCATTATCATTTCTTGGAATTCGTATAGCAGAGAATAGATCTTGAAAAGATTCATTGAAATCTACTGAATTTTTGACAAGGTATTCACTGATGGAATGAAAATCGAACTGACAACCCTGGTCCGCGCGGAGAGTGAGTTGACAACAACCGTGATTTGCTGTTGTCATATTGGTTATATTCACGATATCCGACCGTGATATTAATCTGAGTGTTTGAAGTCTACGAAAAAATGTAATATGCACCTATTTTATATTGAAGGATCAAAAGCAACTTCTGATTGTTTCGATATATGTTTTTCTCAGTGAGATCATGCGATGTAGTTTAATCTGCTTTTCCTAGAAGTTTATGAGAATTGACTACTCGGGGTACTTTCAATCATGATTCACCTCTTCGACCTCCATGAAAAAAAAAACAGTTCTTTTAATACTGTCGCAAAGCGTATTCTCAGAGTAGGTACACAGTGAGAGGCAAAATTATGGAATAATTCCATTTCTTCGTGAATAGGCGACTTTGAAGATGATTCCCGGAATTATTATTTTCAATTTGTCACATTGAAAAAAAAAGAACATACAGGGTGATCCACGTTTGAGTTATGACTTGCGCGACAATTCTTTATATCGAACACCCTATATATTATTAGATATTTTCAATGCCATGGAGAGTGGATTCAAAGATATATCACGCATGGAGTTTGGATACAGTTCGTCTGTTGAATTTGGTGCTCTCGTGAAGTAGTGGATAATATCGTTGAATAATATTGGGGTGTTTTGTTCGAAAAAGAAAATGTCGTTGGTGTTGTAACAAGTGGATCACCCTGTGTATTCAATTTTTCGTTAACAATGTGCCAAATTGAGAACAGAATTCGTATGTTTCGAAAGATTCCTCAGAAATTTAGGTATGAAGGCGAAATATGATTGATTCTATCCACTGCTTCGCAACCTTATGAGTAATATATTTTTGAATCATTCAGCTTCGCATGGAGATCTCAAAAATCTAATTATCAATCAATTTGGAAATTTTGTCGCGCATGAACGAGGAAAATTAGGATAGAGCTGTCTTTGATTGGTCTCTGAAGTCAATTCTGGAGAAAAATAATTTAATCCATAGTTATGCCCCTCACGGTATATTTGTAAATTTTATATTGATAGCGATATGTACACATGCATGCTGAATCCTGTGATGGAAGTGGAATAGTGACCCTGGTGATTTAATAATTATAAATAAGATATTCAAAGATACACGGTAATGCGATGTTTATGGGTACCCTACTATGCTTTTTTTAGAGGATGCCTCAGCGTGTTTCATGATTATACCTTTCAAGAACGTGCGTTTTTCACTAAATTTTCCACGGCAACACACGGCAACAACGTGGATAACTGGTCGGGCACTTCAGCTAGGCCGTCGTGCTCGAAAAACCGCGCGTGCTTTGAGGACCTCAAAATCCACTTATACTTCAATACTAATTGGCAATAACTCATGAACGATTGAATATTTTGCATTGAAATTTCCATTATTTGACCAGAATTTCATTCCAGACATTTCATCCAGTGGTGCGCTGAAATTGGAAGTGTTAACTTTTCCTACCATATTTTTTACTCCACTGATGGGAATTCGATTATTTCAATGTCTCGAATTCATTGCTCGATTCTGTTCAAAAAGTTCATTAGATTGTTAACAGTTTTCAAGATATTCCACTCAAATCTCGATGCTTCTTCCGGGGAAGATGTTTCTGTCCCCCCAGTATATTGAATGTCTTGACTGTGTCCGACGTTTTGAGGTATTGAACAGTTCTGAGAGTCTCTAATATGAACTTCACTTGAATAATATATGAAATATCATTATAACAAGTAGTTCGAAGTTTGCAATACTCACAGAAATAATATTCCAGACTCGCCTCTGGCTTTGATTACCATTCAAGCTTTTCACTGGTATGGAATCTGGTCCATTTCATTAGTTATTGAGAAATGATACTAGATATACCTTATTACCTACCCGGGGGCTGACTTTGAAGAAAGAGACTTCACTCACTTTACAAGTTACTGTGGTGACTCCAATAATTCCAATTTTTTTTCCATTCCTTTCGATGATGATGCTTTTTTTGTAAGTCCCCTGTATCTCCGGTTCTGAGCTATCGTCGATGTTAGAGATCACGACAGGATAGTTGAGAGCTTTGATGTAAGGCACTACTCCCTGGATGCCATCGTCGAAATCATGGTTACCCAAAACCTACAAAAAATTCTTGATTAAAAGATTGTTTGCTAATTCCTTATGCACAATCATAATATTCGTCATTATACATGATACAGAGCCAGACTGATTTTCTCTTTCATCTCTCTATAAACACAAGGTTTTTTTCTTGATTGCAATTGAATTCCACTAGATTCAGCTGTCAGGTCTTGCGTTCGAATTTATGATGGAGGACTGAATCAGTTTGGCTATTTGTATATTATGTTGAAACCGGTGATGTTCTTATTCATCACATATGATTAATATTAGATATAGAATTGATGCATTGTGTGTCTCATCACATCGCATCAAATTTGATATGAGGAACACCATAATATTTCTTCGAAAGTGATAATCAACCCAAAAATTTTTCTTTAGGTACTTTGACACGAATGAACCCAAAATGGAATTAAATAACTTCAATAATTATTGATTTGGATTATTACCCAATCCATTGACAGGTAATTAAAATTTCATCGAGCTAGTTTTGTTCACGTTTCAAATTGTTGAAACAGTATTTGGCCTGCGCAGAACCAGGTGCGCATCAAATTCGATTTGAAACCAGTCTGATGGGATCGTTTGAGAACCATCACGTGGATTAGGGTCAAATTCAGGCTAGGGTTATTCGATGTATACATCAGAGAATCTATGAAAGTCGGAACTCAATAAGAACCTCCTCCAGTACAATAATTCGACAACTTTAATACCTACCAACTTCCTAAAATCATCTTCGAATTCCTTATTCATGTACAGATTCGAAGTTTCCCTTGCAAAACTACGAATTCCAAATGGGTCTTGAGGATTTCCAGCATATATCATGTTCAAGATCATTCATTTTCATTTCAACTTGAAGATGACGTTATTGAGTTGGTGCTAATGCCTATTGTTCATGATGTAGATACAATTTTTCAATAATTCTATTCTTCATCTTGCTCGAAGTTGTCTCTTGTAACTGAGAAAGCATAGAGATTGAAAATCTGTTGAATGAACTCATGCGCATCATCAAAAACTGTCTAAGACAGTCTTGAATATATAGGTCATGTCCAAAGACTCGTTCTGCTTTGAACCGATTCGAAACTATCCCAACGGAGGGTTGGAATACGTCATGACTTTTATAGAAAGTCTGACTTCTGAAAATAGTTCGAACTTTTCTGAATTAATTTACGAAATCTGATTTCCTCTACCTTAACAAAATACAAGAAACGCATTTACTTCAAGAATCACAAAGCTTAACATGAGAAATCATGCAAATTTTGCCAAACAAACTATTGAATGAATGCAAAAAAACCATTCGATACATATGCAACTCATTCCTTATCAGGAATTTTCATTAGGAAAGTTAGTTGTGCGCCTATGGGCACTCCACGGTTGTCAGTTGTGTACAACAAGCAGCACTCAATATTTCTTCAACTGATGACACTATGAGAATTATGCGAAACAAGTCAATTCATATATCGAGTGGTACAACTTTCGAGGTATTTGTCATTATATTATATTCAACCTCTTCATAATCAGGGCCACTACCACTTAATTTTGAAATATCAATTCCCACTCATTTTGGTAATTTTGAGATCCTACTGTGATTCCAGATGAGTAATATCGATTTTGAATTTTTTTCTTCAAGATGGCAGTACTTGACTTCAAAAGTTTCTGGATTGTAATCCATTAGGATGAAGAAAATAGTGACATACAGAAAACACATTCAAATTTATCAGTTGTTCAAAATGGTCGCAATTTTTATCAAGCACAAGTACAGCCGACATTCAAATTGTTTGCAGACCTATTGGAAGGTATCTGTAATTGATAGATAGATAGAGCTTTATTTAACTACATTATATATATAACATATATTGGTAGCAAGTCAAGATAGGCTAAATACCTCCAAACATTTACAAGTAATATCGGCTGTACTTGTGGTCAAATAACATTTTTCTACAAACGTCAAAAAATGACAAGGTTCGCGCATTGATTACAAATTGCGAAGTGACACTTTTTTTCAGTTTCCTACGTTACCATGATACCTTGCACAAAACAATGCGCGAAGTAAAACAGTGCGCGAAGTACCTACTTCGCGCATTGTTATGTAAAATATATGAGATATTTATATTTCAACTTTATGGTCCTCAATCGAGCAAACATCCACGGAATCATCTATTTCTGAATGTTCAACAATAAATTTGTTTTATCTCTTGGAGCGCACGAAAGGAAATTTCTATTATGTTCGTGGAACATCGTGCGTATCTAGGGAGGGTAGGGGAGGCCTTTTAAGCCAGTTAAACACTATTTTTTATATCAAGCCAAGCATATTTTTACTTTAGAACTATATTTTTTGAGGTTTGTAGAAAAAATTTTGTTTGCAACTCGAGCACGAAATGCTTTGGTCATCTCGAGAAGTTTTTAACTCGGCTACGCCTCGTTAAAAAAATCAGATCTCGATCACCAAAGTAGCATTTCGCGCTCTAGATACAAAAATAACTATTTATTTCTGACAGTGACATTATAAGCTCATATCGTCATAGTTACAATATCTATTTATAATGAGGGTCATCTCCCTTGGGATATTAAGGTTCAAAAAATCCCTCTTACCTTTTACAGGTGAAATTGATACAAGAAATGCTTATAAACGTTTATATGTGATGAAAAATAAGACATATTTTCCTTATTCACGTCATTACAAATATTAAATGTACAATTTTCAAATGTTCCAGGAAAATTACTTCCGCCGCTTAAAAAAAATAAACATGTAACATAGCGACAACCTAGCAACAACCAACAATGCTACAATCAACGCTACCTAATTCAAATATACCAGAAAGGTTATGAACTTGAACATTTATTGCGTTCTAAATATGGACATATTGTTATGAAAATCGGTCAGAAATAAAATTATCTATGTACCACGGGAATAATAGAGAGCATTAATAACCTCTGGCAATTGCTTTGCCATCGCTAATTGAGGCCCTCATAATTCCCTTAATACATAAATAACTATTTGACAATCCATAAAATGTGTCAGGTCTGTATGTCCCTACTTTGATTATCATGATGGATTACAATCCAAAAATTTGTGAGGTCAAATATACTGCTATCTTGAGAAAAAAAAATTGTTTCTTATCTGGAATCTCATCAGGATCTCAGGAGTAGCAATATAATTTGGGGTTGCTCTATTCTATTGCTATTCTACTATAGTCGTTATCCTGACGGTTAAGGGGTTGAATACAATATAACAACAAATACCTCAAAATTTGTTCCTCTCCCTCTCGATGCATAAATTGACGTGCTTCGCCAACATTTTCATAGTGTCATCAATTGAATAAATATCGAAGGCTTATCGTTTTCAATGCGTCACCCTGTATGAGGGTGATAAAAACTATGGAAAGGTTGCAAAGGTTACAAAGTAGTTCGTATAAAACGAAGGCACAAAATCTGTGGAATGCGAAATGGTCTGTGTTACTATACAAGGTATATCAAAATCCATAAAAAAAAAGTTGAAGGAACTTCTTGTATCGATGTATGTTGCTCTCCCCTGATGAATGTGATGAATTGATCAAGTTTTGCATACGTTCGTATGGCTTTCTTTTTCTCTCTTCTCCTTTTTTTCCTCTCCTATTGGATTAGTTCTTATTTGTATCATTCATGAATTACACGAACTTATTACTTTGTTTGCATGTGTATTTTTGCTATCATTTCTCTTTCCTAATTAATTTTTGTATCTTTTATTTTTTGCACAATTATTATAACTGCATTTATAACTCACAAAATGTTCACCCATAATAGATATTTATTTTCTGTTTATTATTAGGATTCTAGATTTAGGTACGCATATGTATGTATTATTTTGTAATATGTGCCTCCTTGTCATTGGGCTTGCGCCTGTTAGGGGGCCTGCACATAAATAAATAAATAAATAAATAAATAAATAAATAAATAAATAAATAAATAAATAAATAAATGAATAAATAAATAAATAAATAAATAAATAAATAAATAAATGAATAAATAAATAAATAAATAAATAAATAAATAAATAAATGAATAAATAAATAAATGAATAAATAAATAAATAAATAAATAAATAAATAAATAAATAAATAAATAAATAAATAAATAAATAAATAAATAAATAAATAAATAAATAAATAAATAAATAAATAAATAAATAAATAAATAAATAAATAAATAAATAAATAAATAAATAAATAAATAAATAAATAAATAAATAAATGAATAAATAAATAAATAAATAAATAAATAAATAAATAAATAAATAAATAAATAAATAAATAAATATCGAAATTCGACCGACAACGCTTGACAAATGATAGCACTCCTGATTTCATAATAACTGAGATGGGAATATACGGTCTTCGAGGGTCAATTTCTCGAGATACAACGTGTGAAAGTTGAGAAATAAAAATTGGTTTTTTGCCATAATAGAGTTATTGAATATTTGGGGGTCCAGGTAGCCTTGCGGACAGAGTGTCAATATTCTAATCCGCATTCGCTTGCCGGTCGTGGGTTCGATTCCCATCGACTGCAGAAATTTTTCTGATGGTCCAAGAAGGTGTTTGGGATCACACGTTGAAATGTAAGGCCCCCGTCATTCCTTGCTCGCACAAGACTCTCGAAGACTTCTGAGGGTTGCTCGTGAGGGGGCAACCGAATGACGGATAGAACAATTTTAGAACAAACAACAACAATTTTGCTTTCAAATTCGGTATATGGTTCCATCTTTGCTTTGCTTTGCATCAGGGGATTGTGGTTACTTTTCCTCCCACCTTTTCAGCGCAACTGACGAAATTTGGATAATTTCCAATTTTACGAATTTTTTGTTCAATTTTGTGTAAAAACGCATAACCTTCAATTGAGCTGAAATCAACAGTTTTGGAGATATTTGACTCGAAATATCAGTTTGCATAGTAATTTTTTATAATTTTCAATGAAAGTGAAAGATTACAAACATATTTTTTTGATGGTGAGTAGATTGGATACTTTCAGGATCTCATTTTGTATACATAAACAGAAATAGTTATTTCATTGAGAAAGAAAAAACAATCACTTTTGTAATTTTCTATAACTGAAAATGATGAAAAATAAATATGGAAACTTTTATTTTGAGTCAAATATCTCGAGAACTGTTCAAATAGCTCTGTTGAAGGTATTGAATTTCTAGAATATAATCGATAAACGAATTCAAGAAATTGGGGATAATCGAAATATCATCAGTGTCATAGAAAATATCAGAGGCAAAGCTACCACAACCCCCTTCAGCGTACCACTGGATGAAATGTTCCGAAAGACCTTTTGGTCAAAAATTACCCTTTCAAAGATGAAACTATGTACTGTATTTGAATGCAATCGATCTAGAATTTCTTGAGTTATTGCGAAAAAACTATTTTTATTTCATAATATCAACACCCTGTATCTCGAGAACTGAACAGTTGGAGACCGTATGTTCCTTCCTCAGTAATAATAAGGAAAGCGTTGCTGGTCGAATTTCGAAACATATATGACAAAATTCATGTTCAGAAACGCATTGTATGGTATATTCAATTATCAATCAGATAGGCGGATGTCATTCGATCTTATAATGGGCCTCGAGCAAAATCTTTTTCATTTATGTTCGATAAAGTTATGCAGATCAGCTTTTGAATTCCGTTGTTGCGTGTTGTGGAATATTGAATCATTAAATCATTAAACCAATATCAGGAGGAGGACGCGAGGCGAAAGTCAAATAATGCTCGTATCAAATGTTACTTTTCGATTACACAATGTTTTCCTTTGTATGCATGGTTTGCCAGAAGCGACAAATCCCCATGAAACAAACATACGATTCGTTGAATTCGTAATGATAATCCTCAGCAGAATATGGAATAAAATAAAGGGTGACACATGCACGTTGGGAAATCAGATATTACAATCACCTCCTCGAAATAAAAAAAATCATAAAACAGTTGAAATTCCGGTTGCTCAAGATTTTTTGATGAAAATAAAGTATTAGAGCTACTGATTATAATCTATGGGGTGAAATAATTTGTGAACCAAGAACTGGTTGTGGTGGGGTAGTTTTTGATTCACAAATTATATCACCCTATAGAGCGTATTCAGCAGGTCTAGAATAATCCATTTCCATAAGAAAAATCTCGTGTAACACGAATTCCAACTGATTTATGATTTTCCACTTCGGAGGGTTGTTGAGGGGTAGTTTTTGGTTCACAAATTATTCCATTCCATAAACTGTTATTAGCAGATCTAGAATATTTCACCCTATGAAGCGTATTCAGCAGGTCTAGAATTATCCATTTCTATCAAAAAATCTCGTGTAACACGAATTCCAACTGATTTGTGATTTTTCGTATTCAGCAGGTCTAGAATGGTCCATTTCCATCAAAAAAATCTCGTGTAACACGAATTCCAACTGATTTATGATTTCATACTTCGGAGGGTTGTTGAGGGGCAGTTTTTGGTTCACAAATTATTTCACCTCATAGAGTGTATTCAGCAGGTCTAGAATGATCCGTTTTTATCAGAAAACATCAGGCAACGGGAATTTCAACAGAATTTATATTTTTGTACTCCGGAGGGTTGAACTACCCCTTAGTTTCTGGTTCACAAATCATTTCATTGTATGGAGGGTGTTTGATCTTTGTAAAGTTATTGATTCACATAATGATTTCGCGATCAAGAGATTTCCCAACTGTTTTCATAGTTTTTTTGTTTTGTGGGGTAGTTATGGAGTGGTTTGAAAATCACAAATCATTTTACTGTTAGAAGCCTTCTTCAACTTCTTCAGATTAGTGGACTAGCATAAAAAAAATTCAGCAATAGAAAAAGTCCTGCCTTCTTATACCATATAAGTGAACCTGAAAAACAGTTGCCAGATAAACGGTTGCTGCTTTCACACCCGTAGAAGAAATTCAAAATACATTCTTGAGTTACCGTTATTATGAAAAATATCACGAATATTCAAATAATATTGCCATGAGAGCTTTTCAACTCAGAAATCAGTTTAACTTTTTATCATTCGGAGACACTTTTACAGTAGTAGGAATGTACTGAGATACACAAAAATAGTATATTATTATATAATATTATTTTTTCTGTGACGGGAAAAAAGTTTGGCATTTCATCTCTGTTGGCAGGTTATAAAATGTCACTTTTCATAAATTACTTTTTTCCCGTGGGAAAAAAGTGAGTACTTTTTTCCCGGATATATATCACATATATATACTCTGTTAATGACTTTTGTTGTGCTATAGTTCTGAAAGATGAGTCAATAATACCGTCTCCGAGAAAGAACTGCAAGTCCTTTTATCTTCCATTCGACTTCGCGGTTTCGTATATTACTAAACAACTACTGAATTCGCAATTTTTTTAAATCAAATCACAGAATTGAACTGACAGAAGTGACATCAGATATTTGATTACTTCAAAAGAATGATAAAGATGCCTATAAAACGCAGGTGTCCCTACTGTTAAAAACTTGAAATTTCACGTCGATAATTTTCAGATTTTGAAATAATGTAATATCTTCTCAATATTGATTCGTCCTTCCTTCTGTCACAGAAAAAAATAGTGTATTATACACGGGAAAAATATTAGATTTTAGCTCACGGTTTTTTGTCTCCCTCCGCTACGCGTCGGGAGACAACACAACCTGGAGCTAAAATCTACTACTTTTTTCCCTTGTATAATAAATAACTATTTTTAACGTTCTCAAGATCATAAGGAATTGCTGGTGCAGTCTTCGTTCTGATACGTTTCCTTATTATTGTTCATCTCCATAGCCAGAGCCACCATATTTGATACTTCGAGTTATTCGGTTTCTCTTATTCTCACTGCTAGATCATGTGTGATTCAAATAATTTAATGAAAATGATATCAAACAATGAGGTGATACTATATACATGACTAATTTTCAATTAGAGTGTAGAACCCTTCTCAATGAATTAATGTTTCTTGTAATCAATAAAAATAATAGAATACACCATGTTTCTTTCTCAGTGGCGGTCCTTAGCATAATTTGGTTCAGCAAATGAGCATTTATTGTGATTTTCTTCTTGTCGATCCATCTGTTTTTCCATCGCTTGCAGCGCACAAAAAGAAATTCCTATGATGTTCGAAGAATATCGTGCCTCGAGAGGATAGGGAGAGGTATGGGTTATGAAATTTTTCAAAGTTCTGGAGGTCATGAGTTTTTGGGAATGTATTAACATATTTGTATAATTGTACTATTATTGTTCTTGTTGTAAATTGTTGTTATATAGACGATCAACAAATATTCTGCATGGGGACTCATATAACTCCTGTTTGTATTGAAAGAAATCATCCATCAGGTAATTATGACAATAATGTCTCTTATACAAGGTGTATCTAATCAACACCGAGAAAATTTAAGGGGTGATATGATATTTTGTGAATTGAATTTCATATAAACATGTGTCCTAACTTGCTCCGTTTCCGAGATACAGGGTAATAATATTTCCATGAAAAATTGTTTTCTTATTCATTATTCAATTGTCTGTTCATCAATCTTGATAAAACGATGTTGTTCTGTTAATAGTAATATGGAGCTTCAGTTTTTGAGGAAACAATAAAAACTCGATTCGACTCTCAAAAACGGAGCAAGTTAGGACATATGTTCAAGGGTACCTCATTCGCTAGTATATCATAAGGAATCACCCCTTGATTTTTTTCGGCGATATCAAGAAATACCTTGTATGTGTATCCTGGGATGGGGTTTCAGAAATCGAAACTTGACTATATCTTTGATAGAATGAATTATCTCTTATTTCATACATTTGTATCGAAATGTAAGTATATTATAGGCTCGCATTCAAGATGGTCATTGCAGTTGATAATCTTGAACTACGGTTGTTCCTTACCTCTGCATCAATATCAAGTTTATTCATGAATTCCTGAGTAACATTCCATTTTCCTACTGTATACCAAAGAGTTCCCTGGAATGTATCACCAGCATTGAGTAAAATTGATTTAGGATTTTTCTCACGCATTGATTTTATTTGATTATAAAGCCTTGAGAAACCTCCAATGCATTCATCAGTATTTCTGCATCCTCCACCTTCATCATTGGTTTGTTCATATCTGGAAAGAATAATGATTGTCTTTAGTCAGAGCAAGAATGCCGCTTCGAAGTGTACTTCTAGGGAGTTGATGATGTTTTTTAAAACCTTTCGATCAAATAAAATCAAAAATTATGATTGAGAATGCCAACTATTGAAATAAATCACCTGCTGAATATTCAATAAGAGATCCGTATTATTCTATAATTGTGAATATCCCAGTTCATATGATGATTTCACAAACAAAAACATTCGATGAGTATGAGATTAGTATATTCTTCATTCTTTACCCACTGCAGCCTCCCGAAATTCCCAAAATTTATAGCTTTTCGGTTATATCGGAAAAATGGATCGGCTGCAGTCAATCTCCTACTTTTCGACCATAGTAAAACAAATAAATATCGAACATTAAGGATTTTATCACCATCGGTTTAAAAAAAAACTTTCTAGAAATCAATAAAAAACATTTTTTGTCTATAGAACTTGAATGAATCTCGGGAATGAATCGTTTTCGGAAATATATTCATATAAATATTCTTCCTATTTTGTTCCAAAGTTTCATGCAGGAGGTTGACAGGTGCTTCAAAGATTTCAGGAACGAAATGGATTGTTAATATAAATGTCGACCTTTTCGAGGATTTTTTAAAATTCATTCCTGATGTATTTTATAATCTCATAGGTTTCGTATTTCATATTCTACTCACATAATAATTGAATATGATCAGTAACCTTGACATTTTTCATCCACATAATATTCCCAATTTCATCCAGGAATCCAATAATTCATAATCAAAACAACCGATAACCAACCATTGTCAAATTGATTAATATAATCCGATATTATGAAAGCTCATATGTACAAAAGTATTGATAAATCATGAAACATCATAATGCTCTTGATCCGAATGTTGGGATTCATCAACAAACATTCGCCATATACAGGGTGGGCCAATGGAAAATTTCTACCTCAACTTTCAGGATTAAAAAAAAATTGGTGAAACGCTCGATCATGTCGATCTTTAGGCACAAGTGGGGGTGAACAAATCTCAAAATAAAAAGAGAAGGAAGGGGTCGTGCTACACCTTCCTTCGAAGATTTTATTGTGTTCTTCACGGTTCTTCATGATATTATTTCCACGTCTTATTTACTCTCATAGACAACGAAATAACAGCTTGTCAAAACCTTTTGGCAAGAGACTATTGTTTTAGTGAAAGTGAATGCGATACTACTTCCTATACCAAATAATTGATGTTTCAGTTTGATATTCAACGGTATACAACACAACAAATCCATCTTCATTAACCCTTCAGTGCCCAATCTCAGTAAAATTAATATAATATCAAATTTGACAGTTTTTTTTTAATTCCTATATCTTCAACAGATACCAATGAATTTTTTGAATTTTTTCCGTTAGCAAAATTTTTTTTTCGGAATTTTGGACGCAAAAGTACCGTCACGAATAAATTAAATGGAAAGTCACATCATCCTACATATAAGGCAAAAGTTATTTCAAGGAGAACATAACGAAAATGAATGCTAAGTTTGAAGATATTTTATGAAACAATTAGTGGCGTTAGTTCTTGATAGCATGACTAAATCATCAATCTGGCGTTTTCGAAATGGGTTATGTACCCGTAGAGTTGAGTTGTCCCACATACAATGAAACTCCTTTATGTATTTAGCTCATAATGATATGTAGGATGAATTATTGACATTATGAAGTAGGATTTCTGTTCAATTGAAACTGGTGAAAATGTATATGATTCCCATTTCCTTTTTTCCTCAACGAATTTCGATTTTTTTTTGTTTTCTCAGAACATTCTCCATGTTAAACGAGTAACTCAAGTTTGTGATAATATACGATGAATGTCAGTGCTCGCCTGTTTATCAATTCATCTATAATGAATTCATACTAGACATTCAACAGATTTCTGAAGTAGCATCAGTGCCATCAATTGTGATTTCAAACAGGAACATGGTACATTTGGATTCCTATTATTAAGTATCACTCACACAAATGTGCAAGATATTAACTGACATTGGTGACATTGAACAATTCATTTCATTGTGAAACAAGAATGTGATGTAATAAATGAAGCATGATACATTACAAACGATCCTTGTTCAAAGGCCAAGTGAATTGGGAGTGAGAGCAAGAAGAAAGTTTGATTGAGTCTTTTGTTTTCTGATACCAAAGATGGGATGAAAGCGATATCCAGGGTGAGACATAATGAACTACCCACAAGTGAGTCATTCGATGAAGCCATCTGAAGCAAACAATTGTAGTTGTCAGAATAAACACCTATAGCCAATAATGTCGTTGTAAAACTCCAAGTAGAAAGTACACTACTCATGCACAAGTGTGTCATTCGATGAGGTCAAGTGAAGCAAGTCACTTGTACTTATCGTACTGAACGCCTAGCCATTATGCTCGTTGTATAACTGCAAGTAGAAAGAACACTGAGGCCAACAACACGAATATTCTGTCTCTAATAAAGCGTTTAATATCAGTAGGTTACATGTGTTCCTGAAATTACATTAATACCAACGAGTGATCAGATTCAGAAATGTAATTTTTCTTGTGGGTAATGAAGCGAGTACTTGTCCCATATAGTTTGCAAATTTTAGCTTGGTAGTATGCAAATTTCACTAGCTGTTATCAAATTCATTTTCCCGTGCAGTTGTCAGCAGACTGTGAGCGGCTGATGAGGCCTGGTGGGCCGAAACAGAACTCTCTCGGTCCTGCTAACAATTGAAGCAACTCTATTCATCCTGGATATCTCAGTTATGAGATCTAGTTCAATGATCAACTATGATGGATTTAATTTTGAGAGATATTGTCTCGTTCCGAATCACCTCTGACTTATTTCAGTCGAACTGAACTGATTTATTGACATGAATTCTATCTGATAGAATGCTTCCCAAAGAATGCCTAATAACTGATTTAGTACAGTTCTAGTGAAAATTTCAGCTTCTGAACAGAAGAAGAAGAAGAAGAAAATAAACTTTATTGGACATAAAATAAAAAAATACATTATGCCAAATGGCTAACGACCAAAGTCTTCCTGCCAGTATATACTAAATCATTTTGTGTATTTCAAGGGCATTATTCAAATGCTGATTTTAACAAGGTGAATTATAAAAAAAAAGCATTTTTCACATTATTATTCTATCTGTTGGTATTTTCTCTGGAGAGTGAATCATATAGGCTAAATTCAGGAAATTTGCGTTTGATGGGAGTAAGGGGATTGGTTTGGTGAATGAGGGGCTGGCTTTTGAACATATTCAACCAGTTTTACACTTTTCGATAAATCTTCGAAATTCGAAGTAGGATGTAACAGTAATGCTTTCTCCAATCTGAATGAGCCATTACTAATATATATTATGTAATATGTGTTGTACGAAGCATATCACGCACGAATGGAAAAGTTACGAATGCAGCCGCGGAGCGGCGAGTGCTAATTCCATGAGTAACACCCTTGATTATTTAATACTCAATGGTAACACGCATTTTGTACTATACTTCACCTACGACCATATAGTACATCAAAAAAGTTTGGACGAACAGTCTGAATTATAATTCTTGACAGTTATGTCATCCTATACTGGCGAAATAAACGAAAACTGTGCGATGTGCTTACTGTGCGTAAAACGCTACTTACTGAGGGTGTATCTCGTGTGTTCTTGCCTACTTTCTATAGTGGCCGTAGGAAAATGTTTTTATCACATTTAGATCCCATAACGTGTTCAATAGCGATGAAACACGTATTGGAAGGTTCTACAAAATTTGCCTGAAGAATCGTTCTAAAATTGTTTATTGTTCTTATCCATCATCCGATTGACCCATTACGAGCAACCCTCAGAAGTCTTCAAGAAACATAAATTCATCAAATTTGACAAAAATCTAAAAAACTATGATATCTTGAAATGCGTAACACTTTGTATATAAGTATATATAGTTGATTATGTTCAAAATGTTTTACATGCCACCTTCATCTAGATATGTCAGTGAACCAAACATCCTGTATATTTCGCAATTTCAGTATGTGAAATAAATTATTCATTCAGGTACATACGTTGAAACTGATGATTGCAAAATAGACATACAGAAAAAGAAGATATAAATGGCCGCTACTATCCTAGCAACTATGAAATTCCATCATTATTCTAATGTAATGCGCGAAATGACTTTTTCCATTCTGCAATCTGCAAATGTCGAGTGACATGTCCTATTTTATGTTTACTATGTAGTGCGTTTGATTATTGACTCTCGGAGTAGAGTGAGGTTAATTGAAGTTTTTATCAGTTTACTTTGGGTTAATTAGTTTGAGTGAGTTTATTGACATCTGAGATTGACTTTGAAGATGTGGTGTTATAATCAACCTTCAAGTTTATTCGGTCAATTCAATTCATGAAATGATATATAAAGGAGTATAGATCTGATTTTCTAGTTGCAAATATACAATATTGAAGAAAAGTACTCACCAAGTTTTAATTCTGTGAGGATATAAAAAACAATCTGAATGGACCTAGCCTAACTTGAAACGAACAAAACGAACTTCTTCATCTTTGTGTATCCTGTAATAACAGTGTCGACTCAGTGGCAAAATATATACCTACCTATTTTGAGGAGTTACGAGAGTTAACTTGACGTGAAAAACTTCAGTATTTCCGAACGGCATGCCACAGAAGAGAATATATCGCTCACTGAGTTCTAAAGGAGCACTTTCGAAATAACGAAGTTCAGGGATAATGAATGTTTTGTGTTCTGAATTACTAAATTGATGTGGAAACAACTATCGAGAGCGAAACAATTGAAGAGAAATGTTCGTACCTATCCTTGACCATTGACGGTTAATTGATGTTCATTCTTGCTCAGAGTTGTTTTCAGAGATTCTGATTATTTTATGCCGCTTTTGAAATTGAGAATATAGATGATATCTACTATTGTGCCTTGAGATCGAATCAAAATAATTAAAATAATTTTATATTTCATCCAGCGATAAATGTTTTTAATTCCATTAATATCTCTTTGTGATTCATACATCGACATCTGATTGACATGTTGAGTTTCGAGTTGTTGAATAATTAATGTAGGTATGTCGGTTAAGAGAAACATGAGCATTTTAAATTATGAGAGTTCAATAACAATAGCATTGATAAATATCAGTCTTACTGAGTTCCGCCTTTTCAAAGGAAATACCTGACCTGCCTTCGTCGTCAGTTCTCAATTGTCTGTGGAGAAATGAGAGTTCAAGAAGGTGAAGCAGTATGGAGGGTACCGAGGAGAGTACTATCATCTACAAATATATAGATAGGGCAAGTGGTTGTTACCAACATATCATTGATATGGAGTAGGAACAATGTTGGTTCCAAAATGGATCCTTGTGACACGCCAGAATAAATCATATGAAGCGATCTGCCTGAAAGAAACCTTGATGAAAGTAGGCATAGCTGAGGTGGGGAGTTGTATGATGGTAGTTTGTGAAGAAATCCTTGGTACCAGACACGGTCGAATGCTATCGATATATCTTATGCCACAGCTATAGTGATTCCCGGTGATTCCCAATTGTTTCATAATGGAGCTTGCCAAATATGGGTAACGTAGGCAATTGACTCCCCAGTTGATCTTCGATGACGGAAGCCATTTTGTGTATCATCAATAATTCCTGATCTTTCGAATGTTGAATTCCCTCGGGACCGTGAACATCATTCGTTTCGAGACCAAGCAGTATATGCACCTGACATTGCATTTGCAAAAGACGATTCCAGGCATTCAACTTTCAATGGTCAGCAATGCAGTGTTTGCTTTGGCTAAATTGCCGTCGATCTTGGATAGTGAAATTATTTCCGACTTAGTCCAGTCATTATAGACTTTGACCCGTGAATAATTTTTTAGTGTTTTTTTTTTCATAGGTGTCTCGGGGGGTCACTGGGAGTGTAAATTCAAAATGGCGACCAAATCAAGCTTTTGCGTATGTTTGAATAACTCGGCCATTTTTGATTTTACAGAAAAAGTTTGGGGACATAAATTGTAGTAAATTCGGTTCTCTACAAGTTTGGGCTCTACAATTTTTCTGATAGGATCGATATTTTTTAAATTGAACCTGAAAAAAGCGACAAATTCGAAATATTTTCATTATCTCGTTTATTTTCAACTTTACGGCATAAATGAAGAGGACTAAACTTGTGGAGAATCAAATTCTGAACAATTTTGGTTACCACGTTTTTGTTCCAAAATTCGATATTTTGGGAATTGAACCGAACGCGACAAATTCAAAAGATTATCATTATTTCTAATGCTTCGCATTTTACGGCATAAATGAAGAGGTTATTTCGCGCAGGTAGCTTGTCTGTCTTGTCGGTGTGAAAAAATGGTTCCGGAAGTATTTCTTTCACCAAATTTGTCCAAAATTTGATTCTCTACAAGTTTGTTTCTGCTCATTAATGGTGTAAAGTTGAGAATAAACGAGATAATGATGATATTTCGAATGAGTCGTTTTTTTTAGGTTTAATTCCGAAAATATCGATTTTCGGAAAAACAGGTGAGGAAAAAATTTGTCCAAAATTTGATTCTCTACAAGTTTGTTCCTGTTCATTTATGCCGTAAAGTTGAAAATAAACGAGATAATGAAAATATTTAGAATTTGTCGCTTTTTTCAGGTTCAATTTACAAAATATCGATCCAATCCGAAAAATTGTGATGACCGAACTTGTAGAGAACTGAATTTACTACAATTTTTGTTTTTAAACTTTTTCTGTAGAATCAAAAATGGCCGAGTTATTCAAGAAAAACCGTTTTTTAACAAACATACGCAAAAGCTTGATTTGGTCGACATCCTGAATTTACATTCCCAGTGACCCCCCCGAGACACCTATGAAAAAAAACCACTAAAAAATTATTCACGGGTAAGGTCCGTTATTTGGATATAATGACTGGACTAACTGCTTTTGCGAAGGATGAAGCATCTATTGTTTGGCTGCAGTTATTCCTGGCTCCAACATATTCTGTTGTAGTTACGATCGAGGATAGGGTTTTTGCACGAGTGATGGGTAGGATAGTTATTTCACGAGAACAGCTCTAGAACAGTTCTTGTTGAACTAGTGTTTCGTACGTGATGATATTTTCGTTGTATGAGGTATGTATTCATTCATTCCTAGCGTGTTGATGGAATAAAAATTTACAGGTTTTGGAGATGAATGTGTGATCAGAATTTCCTAGTGATTCAGCTCGAACATCGAAGGAGTGAGGTGCTTGATTATTGGGAAGGAATAAGTCAATTATGTACATATAATATATTCAAACAGTCAACGGGGAGAAGAAAAACGAAATTATATCATGACAATTGAGTATAGAATAAGAGTTTTGTCATGAATTGAGAATGTACTCATGTATTGTCACAAATTGGAAGATATTCCAATATTCTGCGCTCTAAGAGTTGAAGAACTGATAATAATGGTTCGAAGAACATTCGAATTCATTGAACGGCCCCGACTTTTTTCATGAATTCAAACATCATGGAACCAAAAACTTTTGATTTGTAGTTGAACATTACCACATGCGTGACATTGACTTCAACAAACTATAGGAACATGCACCTGACTTCCTCACTGTAACAGTTCCTGAAATTATGACAGCTCAGATGAAAGGTAGTTCAATGATTCAATCGAAAAATCTTCTCAGTATATTCCAGCAGCATAAATATCTTTGTTGATATCCGCGCTATGAGAAAACAATACAATTTTGAAGATATAGGACGTTCAGATTTGTCAAATGTTGTAATTTTTATCGGCGATATAGCCTACTTCCGAACTTCTTTATAATTTGACGACGGCTTGAGAAGTCTATTATGACGCTTGGGCCAGAAAAGAAGATGCCCTTACTCCAGGCTCCCAGCAATATTTCCTTCGGCGTATAAATAGGGTAACCATAAGTTTCATTACATTTTTTGGATTTTCTGAAGAATGAATGTGTCACGTCTCTCACAACATGTTTTTTGAAATCGTGGTCGTATTATTTATTATTTTCACTTTCGATAGGCAGCACCTGCTCGAATTTGTTTTATTTATGAATTATCATTTTCCTGGAAGTTATTCAATCTGTTTCGTTCACGGTGGCCCACTCCGTATATATTCCATATATATCAACTTGTTCGTATCAGTTGATATCATATGATATGATTTATCCCACTCACCGTGCATGAAAATCGTTGAAATGAATCACAGATAATTCGAAGAGTTCACTACGCTGCAATGTTGGCACAGCTTGCACATACACAACATACAGGTTAATCAGCAATAAAACTGACGGAACAACAAACATTGCTCTGAGCACTATAATTTGATACTCTCAAATATTGCTAATGAATGTCATCTGATTTGGAAATATTATGTTTGCATAATAATATATGAATTCAAACTATCTTATCTATAGTACTCTATATAGTTAGATACAGATTCAAGTGGTATAGAGACACAGAATCGGTGATTGAGAGCAGGAAATAAGCAACAGCCTTCGAAATTTATCAGATTGAAGTTGAAATTATTCAGCCAATTTTCCTTGAAATGAACTCCGAAATAGGGGTCAACAATTAGTTTTTTGTTCTGGTTCCCACGAAAAGGGATATCCTGTAATGTTCAGAGAACATCGTGAGAACCAAGGGAAATAAGGTAGGAATTGGTGTTATTCTTAAATTTCTGGAGGTTATATGCCTCGGGGAACACTTCCCTTGGCAATGTGTTCCAGAGCCTCGCTGTTCGTTGGATGAACGAGACTTTGGAAAAAGATGTTCAGCAGGTCTCCAAAGTGACCACCAAGGGATGCGAAGCCCCAACTCGACGGGTTAAGAACATCGTCTATGAAAATATCTATAAAATAGAGCCAGATCGCCAACTTTTCTTCGGTGTTCCAGAGAAGTGAGTGAGTTTGTGAGCGAGGCATCATCCACGAGACGAATTGCCCTTTTTGAACAGAATCCAACAGTTTCAGGGTATGTTCGGGTGCTGCACTCCAAATATGGGAACAGTGTTCCAGGACAGTTGATTTCCTCATTGAATTTCATACTGAAGTATGATGTAATAGTTGGACAACTGCTCAAACTAGCTGTCTTTCTAGCTGATTTTTCTTGTTATCACGATATAAAAATATGATGTATAAAGAAATAAGTCATGAGTATGAGTGGAAGATTTCATCATATCCTCGATGCACCTATAGGAGATAGGTGAATAGTTTTTTCTTGAAATTCTTCCCGATTTGAATTATTTTCATTTTGTGGAATATGTTGAAAGAATCATTTCGCAATGAAAATGCAGCAAATGAAGCATGTGGTGTGAATATCTTACAGAACTCCAATTGATCACAAAATTTGCAAATACTTTTCCAACTGAACTCTCACGTACAGACAAGATAACCTCAACCAAAACTAGAAATTACGAGATCTGTCCAGCTTCACGAGTGAACCAGGAGTAACAATAATTATTATAATAAAATCAATAATTATGATAATAATGATAATATGTCTCAATACATCATTTCACAACAGAGAGAAAGAAACAAGAAGATGAAAGCGAGGTTCAGCTAAGAAGCTGCTCTTTTAATCCCAACCGTTAGAATACTATAAATTCAAATCAATACGTAACAAACAAACAGAATTTTCAAAAACTAAATTTGTGATTGAGAATTGTACAAAGTTTATCGGGATAAATACCAGAAAATGAGTATAAATGTATAAGTGAACAGTACAGTTTAGTGCACTAAATAAGATAGTTAGTTGCAACCAGATCAGAAATCACGACATAAAAATGCTACTGAGTGAATTCCTTGAATTCAACAAGGATGGTATTGTAGAGCTCAGCAGCATCATAGGAAAAGCTTCGGGTGAGAATTGACTTGGTATGTCTAGGAATAATTAGATAAAATGCTTGTTGCCCGAAGACGTTTTGAGTGATAGTTTGGAAAGTTCATGACGTAAATATGGCGGTGAACCAGATGTCAAAATTTTGTGGGTGAAAGTGAGTTGATGTTTTTTCCTCGTGTGTTTCAGTTTCAGCCATCCAGAGTCGTGGAAGGCATCACTAATTTGATCATATTTTCGGATACCATACGAAAAACAAACACAGCTATTTTGAATTTTTTGCACACGTATATAGAATCAGTTTGTAGAAGAGCAGGTCCGTAAATACAATCACAGTACGCCAGACTAGAGAGAATGAGGAATTCGCAAAGATTCAATTCAGTTCTTTTTGATGATATATCTCTACTTGGATAGAGTTGTCTCAATACATTGAATGAGGATTGGCATAAATGGTTGACGTGTTCAGTGAATCTCATGTCAGTATCTAGCCATAAAGCCAAATTCTTACATTCATCCACAAAGAGAATAACGTCGTTGTTGATTCGGATAGAAAGAGAATCACATAATTCTCCTCTCATACATTTAGTATCGAAAAGCATAGCTTGAAATTTCTTCGAATTCAGTTTCAAATTATGGGCACATAAGGCATCGAACAATAACTGCAAGTTTCTATTGGTATCTTCACCGGCGAGCTTAGAATCATAGATATTGAAAGAGCTGAAAAGTTGTGTATTATCTGCATAGTGATGTATGTTACCCGATCTAATATATTCATGGAGGTCGCCTATATAAAGTGCAAATAGCAGTGGTCCTAAGATGAAACCTTGCAGAACATCGAATAGTTTCAAAAAGAAGTCCGATTTGTTACCACCTAATATGACACTTTTGAGTTTGGCTAGATAAATAACTTCCTGATAGCAATACTGATGATTCTCAAAAACTGGAACACAAAAGTTTCTTGCATAGAACTGTAGAATCAAGTGTATCAAATGCTTTGCTGAGTCATGCTATAGTGAACCTGACGTTCCTGATTGCAGGGTTGAAAGTATGCAGTGAAGTCAAAGTTTCGTTCTTAATTTAGACAAACTTCTAACCTCATTCTTCAAAAAAGTATATGTATGTTTAGGTTTGAACTTCTCAACAACTCGTCTATTTAAAACATCTTCTTGTTGATTAGGTGAAAGTATAGTATGTGACTCGATTCTCAACTTTTCAACATCAACAACAACTTTGATCAATATGTAACAAAAATAATTCACTTGATTGACTATTTCAAGTGTTGGAGAAATAATAATGTTTATTCACGAACTTGAATAAATTCTATCAATATTTCAACATTCACTATATAGATGGGTATCAGTCCGATCTCGAACAAAAAGTATTGTAAACGTTGTCAACCAGATCTGATGATAATAAAGATTTATAATCAATTATCTTCCATTTCGAATAGATAAGTTTAAGTAGTCTTTGAACAAACTAAAGTCAGAAACTTAATGAAAAATCAATGGATTTTGGTTTATTGTCCCAACAAAATCCAATAATCTAAACAGGAAGTTGAAAGGAATAGTTGATTATGCCTTTTTGCCTACGCAATCATTCATATTTTCCAATGAGGTATTTGCACATCATATTGAGCTAGATACTTCCCATCTTCAATTGTTCAATTGATCAATGAGTAATTCGAGGGCCAGTTTGTTTCTGTTTGCTCAACCTGCTAAACTTGATTTTTTCCATGACTTTCTCTGTTCACATTATGCCATGAACAGAGACAACTATGGAAAAAAATCAACTTCAGCAAGCTCAGTAATACAAACGAACAGATCCCAACTGTGTTTTACTAGCTCGATGAGAGTAGCTGTTTAATGGTATTCAACAGTACGGCGAATTCTGTGCCTCTTCTACACTTATTATGTGAATAATACAGATCTATCTGTCGAGTTTTTGCGTCCAAAATTCACGTTGAATCCCGAATAGAACTAAGTTCATGGACAAAAATCGTCGACTTGTTTCAAAATTTTTAGCCGTTGTCGACGTTTCGAAGAAAGTTGTCCAATGTTGAAACCATTTGTGTCAAAGTTTTTTTTGTGTGGTGATACTCTTGGTGTCGTGATCAAATATGTCAACTATTAAAATTCTCCTGTCTTTAGCATCAATAATACATGAGTCTCATTACTTATTTTAGGACAATATTATCAAAATCTCCCTAACGGTATATAGAAAATAGAACGTTGAACAATTATTTCATTTCGAAATTTTAAAGAAATTTCAGGCGTTCCAGGAATAAAACAAAAATTCGGAATTTTATATTTGGTTTCCAATTATTTTCTTTGAAAATATCAAAGACGTTACTCACTATTCTAATCGATATTACATGAAACTGCACCAAAACACATTAAAATTATGTTCTGCTCGTTATCACTGGTCAACATTGATCTTGCCCTACATTCTCGCATGAGGCCATGATAATGAAAAAACAAAATATCAGTCGTCTTGACTAAAATTGATACTCTTCAATAGCCATGTTCAACTTGCTACATTATCATGCGAAATGGAGAGAAAGACACAGATAAAGGGAGATCAAAATTTGTTCGTTGAATAATTAAGGAACTCTCACCTATAACTATAGTTATTTACTGTTGGACTTCGACTTCTTGAGTTTTCAATTAGATATGTTTTTATGAAATCAACAGTTTATCAATATTCATCGTTTCTTACAATTTTTTTCACTCACATAACTGAAATGCCATTCAGCGTACGGATATGTTCCACGCTAAATGATCGATTAAACATGGATTGACGATCTGTGATTCATTCAAGAAATTATACACACTCACTGTCGTAATGACCTACCACTCAGCAAAACATGACATTTTTTGGTTTTCGGCGCTCATCGGTGCTGTTTCTTGCGACGTTATCGATTAGTTATGAAGGAACATGATTGTAAATGTAACTTTTAGCCTTCCCAATGGTTTGAATAACCGATATGGCACCCATAAAAAATTCAAAAAGGAACAAAAAGAATATTTCTGAAAATTCAACTTATTTGTCCTGATAAATCAACAATTTTCGCAGGATTCCAAATTTCCTCTTCTGATATTGATTGATGATTAAGAGTTGCATCAAAATATTCCAGAAACGGCTGTTTCTTCAGTTTGCGGAATGGCATATCATAGAGGTAAAATTTACGCAACTTTTGTTGATAATTTTTCCATATCCTACTGTTTAGGCAACATAGCAAACTTGTTTCTATTAGATTATAATGAAGTTGAATTACATATTTCAGAAGTATATCGATTTGGAAGTTGGCAAAAATAAATATTCTGACATATTCACAGTTATACCCACTTACTACTACAGGGTGGGGCATTAGTGCGTCGGAGCTCGATTGCTCGAGTTCAATGATGCTAGAAACCTGATTCAAAAACGAATGTCGATGAGACAACAAGGTCCGAAGCTAGACATTATTGCAACATATACAGGAAGCGGTACCTATTTCATTGGCCATAGGAACTGCGGAATAAGTCCTTTTGAATGAAATGTCTATT